CTGTTTGTGGGGATGCAACAGGAGTTTCTTCAGGATCTATACTGTATTCCTTCACCGACACTTTGCACTGCACGGAAACGACCATGAAGCTCGCCAGCAAAGAGATGCTTGGAGCACTCTCAGGCTGACCACAAGTCGGGCAATCAGGATGTAACCGGGCATCAGGAAGAGGGGGCTCTCTGGGCTTAGGTATCACTTTTCCACCCTAGACTGCACAGGTACCTGTTACACCACACTGCAGCGCTGCTTGGGTATGGCGAGTCATTGACGGAATCCTGCACACGCTAGGCAGTCGTCAAGGCGTTTCGGTGGTGCGATACGGTAGTTCTTCACATGCTCACCATCGTCAGAGCCAGTGGGAAACACGTGATCATCTTTCAGGCCTGGGGGGGAAGCAAGCCGGAGATTGAGCCCAAACCATGCAAGAGAGCAGCCTTCGGGAGAAACAGACATCACAAAGCCCTCTTCAAACTCAGGCTTTCATATTCACCAGAAGAGACAGCCCGTGTGCGCCCCAGAGCGTGGGGGACAATGCACAGTTGCACACAGGGCAACCACGAGCTGGTCGATCAGTGCAGTACACTGGAGCTGAAGCGACAGCGGTCACAGACATTGGCAGTCGCCGAAGCAGGATACCTCACATAAAGCCCTGCCTCGCCACTCACGCACGAGACGCCGCATCCCTGATACAAGAGCCCAGCGCACACCGGCAGCCAGGCCGTCTGCCGCAACTCCGTGAGGTTGGCAGATCCTCTGTGTGGCCTTCACAACAGAAACCGTGCTACGACGTGCCTCGAGCATTTCACAGCTGGTTGCCTGAGTAGGGACACGCAAGGGACACCCGAAACAGCCCTGAGGGCGATCTGCGATGTGAATGGGCCCAGTTGACATCTGCTTCTCACAGAAAGGCCAAGCGCCGTGCAGCAGGGCCCTTCGCATGCGGTCACGCCACCACAAAACGGGACCCTGCGCCCGTCATTCACTTTAGCCCTGAGTGAACATGAAGCAATTATAGGCACATGGAAGAGGTGTACAGGAGTCGGAACAAAAGGGGGTGCAGCGCACATCCCAAGTTATGCACTTTAGAACCACTAATTAGGGACAAGAATGGTGGGGTCTCAAGCTCGGCAAAGCCAGACACACACAAGCTAAGCAACCAGGTTAGGGGCTTGGGCTTATCAGGGATGTGCTCAATGATCTTCCTTTCTGGGCAAATGCTCTCAAAGTCCAACCCCTTACGCTCTGCGCTTGGGGCACTGCCTCCGGCGGAGGCCCGTGATTGAGCATAGCAAACCCCAACGCCTCACACCCGACATCCCCCAACCCCTTCTGTACGGACTTAGGGGGTTCCCAACCCCCCTCCCCTACATTCGGACGTGTGATGTACTGCGCACTTCGGGCAACGCCGCAACGTGGTATGGTGTGGGGTTCAAGGTCAAGAGCATTGAAAGGAATCCAACAGCATCGAAAGGCACTCCAAAATGCGGCAAGAGTACCCGTCAAGACAAATACTCCAAGAAAATCCCAGAGTCTACTAGCCTATACTAGTTACCGGCTGCAGAAAGATCCCGTTGCATGTGCAACTCAGGGCCTGTGCTGCACCCCTATCTGTTTCGACCCCCTGACAGTTCTAACACCTGTTCCGATTAACTGCGGCAAACAACGAAGTGGAGGACAGGACTTTAAGCGCATGCCAAGCGCCTGCCCGTCGCCTGCGCACGCCAGCAATGAGACCTTTGCGACTGCGGCCAGGGCCCCGACTTGCAGAGCAGCGAATGTCGCCTTCGCGCCTCTGTGCTCTCATGGTTCTCATGGGCTTGACTGTTGCAGATGCAACTAGGGGCGACCCTTTGCCTGTATAGCGCGAGCGCCAAGTGAGTCTAAGTGCCCGTGAGCAAGGAAAGTGCTACGAAACCTAGCCTCAAGGGCGGGTTCACGTCGACCTGGTGTCTTGAAAGTTAGGATGGAAAACGTCGTCTTGAAAGCCCTGCAACAGCCGGAAATGTAAGGAGACCAGATGCCATGAGCGCTGGGCAAGGCCGTGGAAGGCAATGCCTGCAGCCGGCGCGTCTCCAAGCGCCGATGCTTCTCCCAGACGCAGAAGACTTTGGAGTGAACTTGCTGCCGCAGCTCAATGCGACTGGCCATTCTGGCAACTGGGTAGAGTGTCGAAATTGCCCAGCAGCCACTGTGCAGTCGCTGCAAGCTGCCGGCGCAGCTATTAGTTCTTTCGCAATGTTGTGGTCAACTCTCGCGGTGTCGACTCTAAGCAAGACTGGCCGATGGCGCGTCGACCCGACACTCAGGTAGTTTGGCATCCAGACACCAGCCTCGGCAGCCTCCGCCTATGCGAAGGCACCTAGTGAGGATGCTTTGCACAAATCCGAGGAATGAGCCCAGCATCATGCCAAATCGGCCGAACTCCTGCCACCAGGCGAGAACGAGCTCATCTAAAGACCGCCCCCACACGCTAGTGCGCTCCCACGAACAGTTCAAGTCCGCCGACCCCGGCAAGCTGGGGGCGAGCGCCAGTGAAGGGCTTTTTCCGCTGATCCCAACTCCGCCCCCACCCCCTTGCTTTACAAATTGCGACCCCCCGCCCCAGTCACCCTTCTTTATGTCGTTCGCAGCATTTTTGGCACTTTCCCTGTACCACTTCACTCAAACCCCTACAAACCCGACCACACCCCTCCGCCCCCCCCACCCCCCCACCCCCCCCGTTTTACGTTGGGATTTACGTTTTAAGATAGGCCACGTGCTCGGGATGATGAAGCTCCTGCCCTTCTACTCTCTCGCTGGAGCCTGGCGACTTTTTCGGGGTCGGCGGAAGCGGCGTTAGCCCTTAGATTTAAGGTTTAGGGTCTAGGGCGGAGGCAAGTGCTGCACAGGACCGTGTCGGATGCGCAAAGGAATGTCTACACCATGGGTATCATTGTGCACGACCGAATCGATACATCCCTAACAAAAAAACTACACCTCGAAACCCTTTTGCATCCAGGTCTCTTGCAGTCAGCCTCGAAACCCTGAACCCTTGAACGTCCCTGGCATTTTTTAAGGGTTTAGGGTTTAGGGCTAATCGCCTGTCTGTCACTTAAATTAAAGTTCCCTACCACAAGAAGCCAGTTGTTGGCCGGCGTTCCCTACCAAGAAGCTACTGGTTGCTTAAGAACACCCCCATTCTTCCTTTTTCGGGTAATACAGAGATGATTCTGTTTGAATGTTTGCTGAAGAACACCCCAAAAAACATTCTTCCTTATAAGGGTAATAATGGGGTGATTATCTTTTACATACTTTCCGGGGGAGGGGGGTTCTTAAGCAAAGAGCAGGAAGCCAGCAGTTGGCTTTCGGGTCTCAGTCTCACACCCGGGTGCGACCTGCAACTGAAGCCATGACCGGAACTGGAACCTGGAATCTGCTTCATGCCAGGACTGTGGCCCTAGACCCTGAACCCTAAACCCCAAAAAATCTAGTCAACACCGCAAGCAGCCAGCGCGCCTCGCTGTTCGAATGCAGCGCCACAGCAAGCATGGCTCCAAGAAGGCGCCCCAATCGCTCATAAGCCCCCAAAAAAAAGGGGTTTCAGGTTTAGGGTTTAGGGTTTAGGGCTTAGGGTAAAAGGGGTCGGAACAAGTACTAATAGTATTCCCTTGTGGCCCTTTTATATTTCGAATATAAGAACCCCCAAAATTATGGGCCCAATTTCACCCTAAACCCTAGCACCCTTGTTGCACCCTTTTTGAAGGAGGTCTCTCTCAAGCGCATCCTTGTTGCACCCTGTTTCAACCCTACACCCCAACACCCCAAATTTAGTGGTTAGGGTCTAGGACTGTTACTAAAATCAGCTGCTTAAAGAGCTTCAAGAATCTACTCACTCCTGCCACCTCTTGAAGGCAGACTCTGCGAGATTGACGGCGCAAGACTATACCCTAATTTACGTAACTCATTCCGGCGAGGTTTCCCGCATCATTTAACAATGCTGACATACGTGAAAGAAGTTCACAGATCAGATCTTCCGATCCCAACTGCCAACCCGAAGCCTAAAGCCTACAAGTTCTGTACACGCCAAGCGAACCTTTTTCGCGCGCCGCTTACATCTGGAAACAGGCGAATGCATCGACATGCTTCCTGTTCGATTTCGAGCCCACGGATCCTCATCTGGCTAGCCCAGAGTGGGATCCGGTTGACTTCATCGCGAGAAACGAGCTTCCCACGATGGCCGTGCGAGGGGGACTTGCTGAGGCTCTCAAGTGCTTCTGGGCCTCTGCAGAGCATCGAGGAACTCCCCATCCGGCTTGATGTATGACGAGCTCTTTGTCACGCCCGGGGGCGACTGCTAAGAGGATGTCAAGCCGTGTCGTGGCCTGGAGCTGTGTATGAATGACGAGGATGCTTTCGGGTTTTTTTAGCAGGACTCGAGACTTTCAAGCCAGCGGTGCTTGTGCTTTGGCACTGCGAGTTATATCAACCTGAGCATGTCTCAGCTGCCCTTAGCGGCTCTTAGCGCCACTTCGGATAATGGCGCCTTGCGAAGGTCAGAGACAAGAAGTCAGACAGCGGTCTCACCACGGTCTGGGTTTCAAGTTCGTGTCAGACTGGAAAACCGTCTCGTTGGTGCCACTCGTCACTAGACTCAGCAGAAAGCCTACTCTCGGGTTTAGGGTTGAAAGTTCAAATGCGTAGTGGCAAACCGCAGGGCTTGCAGCTTACGGATTCTGGTCTCTTTTTTGCCACCTGCCAAGCAGACAAGCCACGCTGATTCTGGTCTCCAGGACCAAGCTTTAGGATTGGGGCCCTGGAGGCCGTAGGTCCTAGGACTTACGAGTATAGTCTTATAAGGCTTTAGGGCCCCGAGGGCACGTGCACGTGATCAGCGGGAGGCGGCAGGGGGCGATGCGAACATCTTGAGTGCTGGGGCTAAGAAAGATTGGAAAATTGGACATCCCTGTGACGTATGCCCTTGTCTCTGCTGCAACTCGTCAAAACAGCCGAAGGTGCGGCTGATGACAGGAACCCAGGTTGAGAGCACACTCTCGCCTGTGGCCTGCTGTTTTCTGGCAGCGGAAGACATAAAGAAGGGCATGCAGACGCAGCTGCGGCCTGCTGGTTCCGACTCTCAGGGATGCAGAGGAGAGAACACTTTCCTTGCTAATCTCCGAAGCATCCGGGCAGCTGGGGGCGGCATGCTCAGTGCTCATCGGCGGCGACAGTGCATACTATGTACACACTCATTCGCACTCTTCGTGAGAGATGCGACGGACTCGCAAGCTCTCGCAGCATGCTGCCGTCTGCCATTCGTTGCTAGTTCCACACTAAGCAAGCTAACGCTTGACATCTCCCCTGCACCTACCAGCTTCTTCCTGGCTAATGTAGGTGTCACATAGCTGCTAGATGGACCAAGCATGAGAGCATAAGTGCCAGGGCGGCCGCTTTTTTCCGATCAAGGATCCTTGAACCGATTGAAGACATGTCAAGCCGTAACAACGTGCTCCCTACAGAAGCACTCAGTGAGAACCCCGACTGACCACTCCCGGTGATGGATGCAGCAACCATTCGCCGACTGCGCGGTGGCGGCTAGCCAACAGGTCCTATCTACTCTCAGGCCTTCTGAAACGCTCTTGAGCATACGGTCTGCTTATGTCTCACTACCTCTCGTTTATTCAGGTGTCACTCATGCTCTCATGCTTGGGCTAGCATCTAGCAGCCAGGGCGGCCGCTTCAAGCCGCATCAACGTGCTCCCTACAGAAGCACGCACTGAGAAGTGAGAACCCCGACGGACTCCCGTTGATGGATGCAGCAACCATTACGCTCCAACATTCTGATGCTTGTGGCTCCTCGAGCTATCGCTGCACGTGGAGCATGCAGAGTGTGCGTGCCTGGAAGGCTTTCTGACGGTTCGGCATTGGGCGGCCAAAGCCAGCCAGCGTCCAACATAGAATCATAGAAATTGCCTCAAGCAAAATTAAAGAAAGTGCGGAGAGCCTGGCCGTAACTTGTTCCAGGTCTCCCGCCAAAGACTCCAGGCGACATAACCATTGGAAGCTGGGTGAAGCCATATAGGGCTAAGGGCCAGGGCCGTCAGGGCTTGGGGTTTGGGGTTTGGGGTGTGGGGAGCTCGCCGTTGCAGCCTCAACGTTTTCCAAGCTGCAAGTCTAGGCTACTCAGCGAGCTCTTTTCCGTGAAGCTCGCACAGCATGTGCACCGCAAGATCAGCCTCACCGTGTGCACTGTGTAGAGCCACAGGGCGCAAGGGCCATCCCGGAGTCAACGTGCAGATCTCTCTGGAATTCAGAGAAGTGGGAGCTCTGTCCAACTTGTGTCAAGCCGATCACATCAAGTGTTTTGTTCGCAAGTCCGCGCATCGCACGTACCCCTGGCTGGTTTCGTTGCTCCATGTGGCTCACCAATCTGGTCTAGGACGCACGCGCAATATTGGCACGAGTGCGGCCCTCCTTGCAGACCCGCAAGGCGACATGCTAAGGGATGTCAATGGTGCACAAGGCACCCACGCCCGCATTCCACCGGGCCATCTGCGAGTCGACGGGATGCGAATGTGCTTTTGTTGAAAAATGTGGCCGGAGCCGGTGACCTCCGCAATTTCTGTTTCTTTTGACTGGCTCCGTTGGTCGCTCACCAGTTCACCTGGAACGGGCGCTTGCCCTTGGGGCAAGCGTGCCCTGCCTGCAGGCCCAGAATGACGCGATTCAGCACTCTTGCTGGTCTCCGAAGCATCCGGGCAGCTGGGCGGGGCATGTTCTTTACGTCGGTGCAGGGATTTGCCAAAGGCAGGAGCCAGAGCCAGTGATCTCTTCAAGTTGTGTCGTTTTTCGCTGGCTTCGTTGCTCGATGAGGCTCACCATTCTGGTCTGGGATGAACGCACGACATTGGGGCGAGCGCGGCCCTCCATGCAGACCTGCAAGGCACTGCATCATGCTCAGGGACGTGAATGGTGCACAAAGCAGGCCATCTGCGAGTAGACGGCGTGCCAATGTGTTTTGCTAAAAACCACGGGGGGCGGAGCATGCGGAGCCTTTTGGCTGGATGTGGACGCTCACCAGTTTCATGCGGAACCGGCGCTTGACGGGATACACATGCGTGGTGTTGAAAGAGGTGGGAGCCGGAACCAGCCGCAATTTCTGTTTCTTTTGGTTGGCTACATTGCTCGATATAGGCGCTCACCAGTTTCATCTGGAACGGGGGCGAGCCCTTGGGGCAAGTGCGCCGTCCCTGCAGGCCCGGAATGATGGGATTAAGGACTCTTGCTGGTCTCCGAAGCATCCGGGCAGCTGGGGGCAGCATGCTCGGAAACGTGCACGGTGCGTAATGTGTGCACACTCATTCGCACTATTCGTCAGAGATGCGACGGGCTCGCAAGCTCTCGCAGCATGTTGCCGTGTGCCCTTCGTTGTTAGTTCCACATTAAGCAAGCTAACGCTTGACATCTCCCTTGCACCTACCAGCTTGTTCCCCAGATGCTTGTGGATTTCCCCGAGATCCTGGAAACTCCTGTCCAATTCAGGTGTCACATAGCTTTTAGATGCTAGCCCATGCATGAGAGCATGAGTGAGGGCAGCCCTTTTTTCCGATCACACACTCCTTGAAGACATGTCAAGCCGAATCAACGTGCTCCCTACAGAAGCACGCAGTGAAAAATCTCGACTGACCGCTCGCGTTGATGGATGCAACAACCATTGCGTGCCAACACATAGCTGCTAGATGCTAGCCCATGCATGAGAGCATGAGTGTGAGGGCAGCCCTTTTTTCTGATCACACACTCCTTGAAGACATGTCAGGCCGAATCAACGTGCTCCCTACAGAAGCACGCAGTGAACAATTTCGCCTGACCGCTCCCGTTGATGGATGCAACAACCATTGCGTGCCAACATTCTGATGCTTGTGGCTCCCCGAACTATCACTGCACATGGAGCATGCAGAGTGTGGGTACCTGGTCCGACGGGTTGGCATTGGGCCAACATAGAATCGTAGAAAATGCCTCAAGCAAAAGTAAAGAAAGTGCGGAGCGCCTGGCCGCAACTTGTTCCAGGTCTCCCGCCAAAGACTCCAGGCGACATAACCATTGGACGCTGGGTGAAGCCAGAACGAGATCGCGAGAAGCTGACAGGCAAACATCCAATGAGATGCTAGACCCAGGGTACCCTTTTTGGTTGTTTATAAGAAGGGAACCTGAACCCTCAACCACGAGAATAAGGGCCTACACTCTGGGTCCTAGTAGCCCTAAACCCTAAACCCTAAGAAATTAAGGGAATGAGGGCCCACTCTCGGTCCGAGGAACGGCCCCAAAGCCGAGCCTCCTATATTGCGCAGTAGAGGCTCCTCAAGCCAATTCCCTAGTGAGAAGTTAAGGCTTAAGGTTTCGGATTTCGGGCCTGGGGCTTAAAGCTTCGGGTTTGGACATGCTGTGGCGCCTGGTTCCTGGGTTAGAGTCGAACACCCTTGCAGGCACCCGAACAAAGTCCCACGATGGCCATGTCACCTGTGGCCGCACAACCCCAAACACTCCCGGGACCCTAAACCCATGTGCTGCAGAGCCACCCACTCCGCACTCAGTAGACAGCTTGCTTGACTTCCACTTGCTGCATGTCTGCCGCTTGGGATGTCAAAGCTGCTTCTTGCCATGAAAAGCGCGGCTTCGACCTAAGGGCCAGGGCCGTCAGGGCTTGGGGTTTGGGGTTTGGGGTGTGCGGAGTTCGCCGTTGCAGCCTCAACGTTTTCCAAGCTGCAAGTCTAGGCTACTCAGCGAGCTCTTTGCCGTGAAGCTCGCACAGCATGTGCACCGCAAGATCAGCCACACCGTGTGCACTGTGTAGAGCCACAGGGCGCACTCAGTAGACAGTTTGCTTGACTTCCACTTGCTGCATGTCTGCCGCTTGGGATGTCAAAGCTGCTTCTTGCCATGAAAAGCGCGGCTTCGGGCTAAGGGCCAGGGCCGTCAGGGCTTGGGGTTTGGGGTTTGGGGTGTGGGGAATTCGCCGTTGCAGCCTCAACGTTTTCCAAGCTGCAAGTCTAGGCTACTCAGCGAGCTCTTTCCCGTGAAGCTCGCACAGCATGTGCACCGCAAGATCAGCCTCACCGTGTGCACTGTGTAGAGCCACAGGGCGCTAGGGCCATCCCGGAGTCAACGTGCAGATCTCTCTGGAATTCAGAGAAGTGGGAGCTCTGTCCAACTTTTGTCAAGCCGATCACATCAAGTGTTTTGTTCGCAAGTCCGCGCCTCACACGTACCCCTGGCTGGTTTCGTTGCTCCATGTGGCTCACCAATCTGGTCTAGGACGCACGCGCAATATTGGCACGAGTGCGGCCCTCCTTGCAGACCCGCAAGGCGACATGCTAAGGGATGTCAATGGTGCACAAGGCACCCACGCCCGCATTCCACCGGGCCATCTGCGAGTCGACGGGATGCGAATGTGCTTTTGTTGAAAAATGTGGCCGGAGCCGGTGACCTCCGCAATTTCTGTTTCTTTTGACTGGCTCCGTTGGTCGCTCACCAGTTCACCTGGAACGGGCGCTTGCCCTTGGGGCAAGCGTGCCCTGCCTGCAGGCCCAGAATGACGCGATTCAGCACTCTTGCTGGTCTCCGAAGCATCCGGGCAGCTGGGCGGGGCATGTTCTTTACGTCGGTGCAGGGATTTGCCAAAGGCAGGAGCCAGAGCCAGTGATCTCTTCAAGTTGTGTCGTTTTTCGCTGGCTTCGTTGCTCGATGAGGCTCACCATTCTGGTCTGGGATGAACGCACGACATTGGGGCGAGCGCGGCCCTCCATGCAGACCTGCAAGGCACCGCATCATGCTCAGGGACGTGAATGGTGCATAAAGCAGGCCATGTGCGAGTAGACGGCATGCCAATGTGTTTTGCTAAAACCCACACAAGCCGGAGCCTTTTGACTGGGTGCATTGCGCGATGTGGACGCTCACCAGTTTCATATGGAACCGGCGCTTGACGGGATACACATGCGTGGTGTTGAAAGAGGCGGGAGCCGGAACCAGCTATCTCTGCAATTTCTGTTTCTCTTGATTGGCTACATTGCTCGATGTAGGCGCTCACCAGTTTCATCTGGAACGGGGGCGAGCCCTTGGGGCAAGTGCGCCGTCCCTGCAGGCCCAGAATGATGGGATTAAGGACTTTTGCTGGTCTCCGAAGCATACGGGCAGCTGGGGGCAGCATGCGCGGAAACGTGCACGGTGCGTAATGTGTGCACACTCATTCGCACTGTTCATCAGAGATGCGACGGGCTCGCAAGCTCTCGCAGCATGTTGCCGTGTGCCCTTCGTTGTTCGTTCCACATTAAGCAAGCTAACGCTTGACATCTCCCTTGCACCTACCAGCTTGTTCCCCAGGTGCTTGTGGATTTCCCCGAGATTCTGGAAACTCCTGTCCAATTCGGGTGTCACATAGCTGCAAGATGCTAGCCCATGCATGAGAGCATGAGTGTGAGGGCAGCCTTTTTTTTCCGATCACACACTCCCTGAAGACATGTCAAGCCGAATCAACATGCTCCATACAGAAGCACGCAGTGAGAACCCCGACTGACCACTCCTGTTGATGGATGCAGCAACTATTCGCCGACTGCGCGGTGGCGGCTAGCCAACAGGTCCTATCTACTCTCAGGCCTTCTGACATGCTCTTGAGCATACTGCTTCCTAATTTCTCACAACCTCTCGTTTCCAACAACGTCAAACAGAATTGGAAAAGAGGGATGCGAAAGCTAGTGAGCATCGGCGTTTGCGCAGGTTTCCAGCTCAGGGTGTCGATTTCAGTTAGAACTTAAGGACGTCAAGCCTGCCTGAGGGTGGGGTTTCGGGTTCCGAATTGGCTCCTGTGTGCTCTTCAGCTCCGACAAGTTGTTGAAGGTCTACTCATCATTCTCAAGAGCTTTTGTGGCTTGGGGTGAACACCCCAAACCACCAAAAGCCCAAATTGATGCTATCTCAAGCTCTTCAAGGAATGGAGCACAGAGGCTGAGAGGCGCGGTCTTGCGAACTTGTGCTGAGCGAAGGCGAACTCTTTCCCTTAAGACGCTCAAAAGGCCCACGCCTTGAGGGACCTAATGTGGGTCACGGCGCATCTCTTCAAGGCAAGCAAGCTACCCCGAACCAATATATGTTTCAAAGCCACCGCTGGCGACGCAGGTACCAGCAGAATCCGGGCGCAGACGCTTTCACGGACTTCACAGCTAGCAGGTGGCTGTGAGCACAGCTCTCAGGCCAACGACGTAATTTCTCGTGCCACCAGCATCTCCTTCGCTTTTGTGCCACTAGCATAGGGAAGCCAAGCCTGCCATTTCGAACCATGGGGCCATTCCCAGCACTCCCATGTCGGAAGTGACATCACTCGTTGAGCTCAAGCATGTTCAAGACGTTGCCTCAGGCATGGCTGCAAGTGTTGTGCATACTGCGACGCCACGCAACACATGAGAGTGTGGACATGGGGAACGTGGGGTGGGGGACGGGGAAAGAAACGAACGCCCTGCGGCAAAAGGCCTTGTAAGGTGTGGGCACATGTTAGACGCAGGGATGGGAGATGAATATAGAAAACGACGTTGGCATGT